TGAATAACAATGGACAGAAATAACCAATGTGATGAAGAGAAATGAAATATATGTTTATAGTTAGTCTTCAATACCTGTGTTTTCATTTGGTCAAGGAAGACATTTTTGAGAAAACATCATTTATATACCAAGATGATAAGCTAAGATTTGCCTATATACAGTATAATGCTATGGGCCATGGTGGCGCAGTGGTTAGAATACAGTACAGTCTAACTCTGCCCACAACTTGGAATTTAATCCTGATGGGGCTCAAGGTTGACTCAGTCTTACATCCTTCTGAGCTTGGTAAAATGAGGACCCAGATTGTTGGGGGCAAGATGCTGACTCTGTAAACTGCTTAGAGAGGGCTGTAAAGCACTATGGGGTGGTATGTAAGACTAAGCGCTATTGCTATTTATATTTCTCACATGATCACTATGTGAACATGTGGAACAAGGTAGCTGTTTTTCAACAAACTTCAAGAAGCAACAATGTATATTAAAAGTGGTTCAATTGGCCATAAACCATATTATATACTTCTAGTCAGTGGCGGGATTCAAATATGTGAACAACTGGTTCTCTGTGTGGATGCCGCTTCTGGGCCTGGGCAACAAAAAATTAGCTACCAGTTCTGCTGAAGTGGTGCGAACAGGCTGAATCCCACCACTGCTTCTAGTCTATTTTGGGTGAGACTAAAACATTAATAATTGCATGTAAAAGTTTAAGCACCTCTGATCAAATGGTATGTTTCAATGAATCCTTAGGAGAACAGAAACTAATTCAACTTCTACATTTTTCCACTGTTAGCATTTTGAACAAATCCATTAATTACTGTATGGTTTATTCAGTAAATAGTGATTAAACCAAGTGAAATTGTAATTTACAAATCATAATTGAAATAACATTTCATAACTTTCAATCTTAGTCATGATATTATAGTCCATGAGCTGCCACAAAACAATGTAGGCTACAGAAAAGTTTGGTATGTTTTATTTTCTTAGGGAAGATTAAGATGTTTATTTTAAAATACAATTCATAGACTGAAAAAAAGCAAGAAGAGGGAAATATTTCTGGAATTGAAACAGTACACAGTTGCAGCAGTAATTGCCAATGCATACATATATTATTACACAAGTAAAAATGTAGCTTCCCTTAAGTCACTATTTCTACAGTTAAACTTTAATGAAACATTTCCTAAACTCTTGAGCAGTGCAGTTCATAATTATCAGACTATTGCATTCCAGTCAGGTGAATTAAAAGCTACAATCTCAATTTTAGCATGTAAGACATGTGACCTGCCTCTGACCTTTATCACAGGCAGCTTACCTCCCACTAACTCAAACAAAGGGTGTTCTCTTCAGAACACCACTCCTATAGCCAAAATACTGATGGCAACTGCACTCCAGAAAAAAATCACTCAAATTGCAAATGGATTAATGTATCACTGAGAATGCTTTAAGTATCTGATTCTTCATTCTGAAAGGATGAAGAAAAACCAGTTTAACGGAAAAACACACACCAATCTAGCACCTTCCACAAAATACATTTACTAAAAGCTCAAGTCTCTCTTTTTCCCAGAGCCCACAGCAGGTGAGGAATAATTCTCCACAAATGTTTGCATTATGTCCTATGCAAAGAAAAGCAAAAAAAAATTCAAAGTGTAACCAAATTCCAATCTACTTATTTCATTTACCTATATGCATAATCCATACTATTACCGTTTGGTCATCTTCTAAGCCTTAAGAATGTGGTGAAAGATCTCTAAAACATTTGATTTTATATTTATTTTTTTTATTTCTAGGGTCAGTCTAATATTCTGGAACAATATTTCCCAACTAGTCTACTGCTGTCCTTTTTAATCTGTAACCCTAAATAAATATTTTTTTTCAATTTTTGAATATTTATTTGAATCAATCCCATCAAAAATAATTTAACAATTCACATTCTTATATTGGTGTTTTCTTTTAAATAACAAAATTGTTGTCATTCTCTATAGAAGAAGTTATGCTATTCTTTCATTTATTCATTCAAATTATTCCCTGCATTTTTATTCCTTCTCCTAACTTTACCACTTTCTACAGGGGATGATCGAGAGCATCCTGTCATACAGCATCACAGTCTGGTTTGGAAGCATCACTGCTTCAGACAGGAAGGCGATGCAGAGAGTGGTGAGGATGGCCAAAAAGATCATTGACAGTTCCCGCCCTCCCATCCAGGACATAGCACAGAAGCATTGCTTGAGCAGGGTCCGAAAGATTATCTGGGACACTACACATCCTCTTCACGACCTGTTTTCCTTGTTACCTTCTGGGAGGAGGCTTCGTGGTATCCGTAGCAGAACATCCAGATTCAGCCATAGTTTCATTCCATACAGCATTAACCTTGTGAACTCTCAAGCTTCCTCCTTCCGTTATATATTCAAGATAGACAGCATTTAATATTTATTTGTTATGTATATGTAGGGTGGGTCTATACATCTGTTGTACATAGTATGTTTAGGTGTGTGTCATGTATGTGTTTCACTTTGAGAGCGGGCAACTAAATTTCATTTTTGATGTGTGCCGTTGTGCCCAGAGTAAACAAATGACAATAAAGGTTATCTTATCTTATCTTATCTTATCTTATCTTATCTTATCTTGCCTTGCCTTGCCTTGCCTTGCCTTGCCTTGCCTTGCCTTGCCTTGCCTTGCCTTGCCTTGCCTTGCCTTGCCTTGCCTTGCCTTGCCTTGCCTTGCCTTGCCTTACCTTACCTTATTCTGATCAGTATTCAAAATAATTAAAAATAATATAAAGATAAAGATTTCCCTTGTCCAGTTATGTCCAGAGGGCAATGCTCATCTCCGTTTCTTAGCCAAGGGAGGCACTGTGGTCCAAAGACACTTTTGTGGTCATGTGGCCAGCATGACTGTACACTGAGGTGCATGGAATGCTGTTACCTTCCCACCAAAGTGGTACCTATTTATTTACTTGCATTTGCATACTTTCAATCTGCTAGGTTGGCAGGAGCTGGGGCAAGTAACA